CCTGACCACTGATTACTAGAGTCCGTATATCTTTCCACATTTCGTGTACTCAGAGAAGCGTGACTCTGTATCCGCGGCGACGGGGTGGGTAAAGTAAGTGGTGGGGTATTCTGTAACAAATCTGTGCCCATAAAGTTACCTACCACTTTACTTACGTTGTCACTAACGTTAAGTTAGTTATCGCGAGATCGTATAGGGGTGCAGTGTCACAATTCAAGGAAAATTCTTCGCCAGGACTAGGCGCACAAAAAGTACCCCCCAGAGATTGTTTCGAAAAGAGGGGTCTGTTTGGGCCAAGAAATGGTGGGATTGACTCAATATGGCCCAGGATCATCCCTGCAGATTCAGGGGCGCCCATCTGGGGGCAAAGCAGACAAAAATGGGATTGAGAAAATTAGAGGAGCTCAGTACCTCTGGAAGGTGAGGGATGTCATTTGAAAAATAGCCGCTGGGAGGGCTTAGCAACATTCACTTTTTTGGGGGGTGAGTTTGTTTTGGGCGGATATTTAAAAAATTCATTGGTTAACCTACTAAAAATTGAAAACCAAATGAAATCTGAAGGACCAACCAACACGTTGCTTTTTGTTTGAGAGGCCTCAGGGACTTCAGTAGCCTGCCATGGGGCTCCAAACTTGGTTGATTTTACACTATTTTCAATGGAGCTTGAATTGGTTCAGTGCACCCATACCACTACTGCGTGAGCTGGAGCAGCACGTGATCTGTGTTGTTAACAGCCAGCCCTCCATTGACGCAATATAAGTCTGAACCTAGACTCCAAATACAATTTCCTGTGTTATCACCTGAGGGAGGTGGTGGTACCAAATCTGTTCAGTGGGCAGCGCGAGTGCTATGACAAACATGACGGAAACTGATGATGACGGACTGCATGCCGTGGCATGTGAAAGTTGCAAATGATTTTGACGTTGTGTGTCTTAAATTTCCACTAAAGAAATTCTCATTCAGATTACAAAAACACAGGACTGACTTTTAGCGCGTTGTCCTCGCTAGCTGTGCCATGGGAGAGAGTCAAGGCTTGATCAGTGACGCGGAGCTCCGACAATTGCTGCTAATTTTCTGTAAAGCCGGCTACAAAGCACGAGAATCATCAAGCAAGGTAGGCCCTACGATAGATTGTAATGTGGCGCAAACCTGATCCGAAACCGATTCAGAGGCCGGTCAGTTTTCCACCATTGGAGTAATGACTACGTAGCTGAGTGGAGGTTGTTCGACTTCCACTGTTCCAAGTTATCCTTGCTGCCCAAGCTTCAAGGTACATGTACGTGTTGTGTACAGTATTGAAGTCATTTTTGAGAACGAAGCACTCTCTTGAATTACATATAACTCACTAAGGGAAGACTAAAATTTGTCTAAGTCCCATGTGGGTCCCGGGCTGGGGAGTGGCTGCAGGGATACAAAGTGGGCCTTTTGCGTCCTGCAAATTGCAAAGTGAACTGGTCATGCTGGTGAATGGGGAAAGCGGAAGAACTTTCTAAGTCCAGTGTTGGTCCCGGGGAGCGACTATGCGGATACGGGGATACGAAGTGGGCCTTGTGGATGGAAGCGTGACTCCGTATTTATGTATCTACGGCTACGAGGTGGGTAAGGTGAGTGGCGGGGTATTCTGCAATTGTGCCCCACCATTTCAGTCAAGCGTCAAGTGATGTCCATGAAAAGAATTCCATACCTGAATATGCATGATATGCGACTCGAATAAAAGTCAGGCCCTAACTAAAATCTGCTCCTTTAATCACGGCCTACTGCTAGGCCTACACGGATATTACAACCCACCAACTTTATTTTATGAATCAGACTGGTCTGAAAAATTATGTGTATTTTCTAAGTAGGCCTAAGCTTAAACACTTTAGGCCAACATGTACATGTAAATATGTAAGTTATGTTATCACAGTGATAGGTCTGTGGCACTGATGCTAAAATTGAGTGATGTCATGATATGGGCATCCTTTCATACTTTGAGTCAGTTCATACGTGTACAGCAAAAATTGGTTCTGGTCAATTTTTTGGCATGTTTAGGGTTCGGGTGAGGTTGGGGTTAGGGTACCCCACAGTTCTGGGGATAGGGTTGGGGTCCTCAAATCAGTTTTGGGTTGGATTCTTTTTTTAAGTGCAAGTATGTTTTGATTGGATTTGGCCCACTCAACTCAACTTGACCATGCTGACACAATGTTAGTATAGCATGGAGGGAGGAAAAGATGTACTACAGCATGTACGGGTAGGTGTTTATTAGAATTACACAACTTTGTGCATGTACATGCACGGTATCGGGTCAGCTAGACCATTGAGACAATTCGACAGATGAGATGAGACAACTCTTTACCAAGTTGTCCATTAACCTTAGCCGCCAACACTGGCCAAGCATATTGTTTGGCTTACAGTACTCAGTACTACAAAATACTAAGTAACAGCCTGAGCCTGAAGGACCTTACAAATTACTACATCTGGCTACATGTAGGTTACTTCCATTGTCACTCGTACAGAGAACAATAAAGCCATGCATTCATAGTGCCAAAGCACTGTATGGTACATTGTCTTATCTAAATTGTATTTTATGGCTTCAGATAACAATGAGGTCATGTCCTCTTACAAGCAGCAGCACTGATTACTACATTTTACAACAAGTAGTAATTTGTAGTATTATGTAGGGTTAGGGTTAAGACAAGCCAATTTTGACATGGAGACAACTCGACTGTACAAGGCATGTATATTTGCACGAACATATACAGTAACAGTTATGTGGCTCGCAGAGTGCAAGGTAATCAACACAATTTGCCAGTGTTGCATGCATGCACAGGACTGGTGGGCAGCCCTATGGCTGCTGAGATTTCCCCATCCAGCGCAGTGCGCATTTGCACAAGTCACTCCATGGCAAAAATGCATGTAGCAGAGGAACAGTACCTGGTACAAAAACAAGTCCTTCAAAATCACCCAACAACAATTTTTGAAGAAGTTTTGGCCTCTGCTGTTGTCCAACAAGCTCTTCAACATGAAAACAAAGTGGAACCTACACCAGGAAAATGTTGAAAAGTGTGAAGATAAAGTATTTTACACAAAGCTACGAAGACAATTGTGTTCTGCTTTGAATGACACCACACTCTGGATCATGAATATGGAGATCTGAATTAGCATAAAACCAACAGTGTGGAAATGTCTCCCTTACTTGTACAAATCTGGTGAAAAGTCATCATAACATGTAAAAGTAAGCTGAGCTTTATTTATTCAAGTCCAAAACCCTATTATATGTGTTCCTTTAAAATATGGTAGTTTTGAGATTTGAAATGAAATCTGTATGAGTGGTTTGGCCAACTAATTTTTAAGGAAATTGCATGGCATTCCGGTGAAGATTTTTGGACACCTGTATATTTTTGTTTCACTTGATTGTTCAACTCTTACAAGGTGTGTATTACATGTAATCTAACATTACATGTACCAGTACTTTTGCAAACTCAGGAAGTCTTCCTTTACAGAAATAAAGGATTATTACGGAAAAAGTGGTTGGACTAAATTCTTAACAATTTTAGCTGCTGAGGACACATGTACATGTACTAGGGTCCTTAAAGTAAGGATTGCTGAGTGTTCTAAACCATTGTGAGACTACCGTATTTTGGGAAGAGAAGATCGTTTGTTGTTTTCCTGGGTTGGCATACATGTGTACATGTATTAGGACCTTCAAGATGAGTTACGGCCTTCAAGATGAGTTAGGGTCTTTCTACAAGGTACATTTTGCCATGGATGTGTACAGGCCAGAGCACATAATTTTTTATACAGCCGGCATTAAAGCAATAGCTGGTAGATGCAATTTTTAAATGCACCATACTTGACTGAGTGAGCATATGGTCAAGCATTTTGGACACACTTTGAAGAAGGTAGCTCTGAAGGATTTTCTCCAGGGACTGTCCAAAATTGTAGTACACATTTAGAACAGATGGAACCAGATAAAGATTTGTCATGGTAAACTTTCCAAATAGCCCCCATAAAACTCAATGCACATGCTCAGTTGCTCTACAGCGAAAGCATACGCTTGAACCCTTTCATGGTCAGTATTCTATACTGATGATTTTTAAAGACATGGCGCACACTTTAAATCTTATTGCTTGACTTCACTCCCACAAATTCGTATGTTCACATTTGGATGAGGCAACTTGTACTACATGGATAAACTTAAATATTTGAAACCAGTGTTACTAGTATAAAACTTTGAGCCACTGTATTGGGATAGTGTTGTCACCTGCCTGGTTGTATGTTGCCTCGGAAATAATTACCTGTGACTTCTAGCTTAAGAATCAAGTCAGGTATTGGCTTTTTTAGATGATGCAGTTTGTTTCATTTTGTACACCTGTGTCTTTCAAATTGTGCAGATCACTTACAGAATTACAGCAGTGTACATGTAGGTTGACTGCAGGTGCAAAACTGTTATGTAGATCAGCAAGTTGTTGCTTTTACGTGTATGTACACATATACATGTACTCATTCCTGACTTACGGAGTTGCTCAGCAGGTCAAGGCCTGTATAATGGCGATCACCGGAAATTCAGCATTAGTGGGCTGTGCAATGCATTTTTTTTTTCATTACAGTCCTCTGAAAAGCACCAATGTGTGATTCCATTAATCCCCGTTTCAGTGTTTGTTTAATTGCAGTCTTGAAAGAAACCCTTATTTGGTGCTCTTTTGGTTTTCATTTCATGGAAATTTCCACATTCGTGAGTAAAACTGCAGTGTCGTTCCAGGGAGGAAAAATGTCAAACCTCAGTGTTGTACTGATTTCTGCACAAGGACTGCTGCAATTTATTTTTTGAAATTGAATTTCCATTTCCTTTTCTTTGATGATTCAGTGTTGCTTGAGTACATGACAATAAGCCAACCAGAATTGTTTTCACTGAGCAAAGTTTGGGTTCTGAGGATTAACATCACAGCAACAGCATTCCTGTCGTTCAGAAAAGAACGGACAAAAATATAGTGGAATTGGAAATAATTCAAAAAGTGCACATTTCAGTACACTTTACCCCAAAAGGATGTCAAACTCATTTCAAAGAAGAGTGTAGGGTTGCCAGACCCTTTAACCCTTACAATCCCTAACGAGTCAAATTTCAACAACAGTAAGGTGTTTGAATTTTTGGAATTACATGTACATGTAGGTACTGGGAACTTGCTATATGGTGTTGGATTTTGACTAAATAGGTACTGTCGGCCTGCACTTACCCTGTTGAATTTTGACTGGTTGGGTACCTTGGCTCTCTCACTTTTTACCATCAGGACTTGTAAATGAGTACTGTAGTTTAAAGATTAGGCTTCCCATTTAAATGGATATACATGTATGTAATATTATGTAATAATTACAACAAGGACAATCTCCCTTGTTTCTGACCACAATGATCCCAGTAGTTGGGGATGGATATGCAGCATGATGGTGTGTGAGTTTGTTTGAATAGGTACTGCCTGTCCATACTCTTTGTACTGTGCATCGGGCCTGCCGCATCCAATCAAACAAAATCACACAGCTAAAGACTTGTTGGAATTTGTCTGGGTACTGTTGCAGTTCGAGCACTACTGGAGTCTGTGAAATTGGTTTATACTGTAAGGTAGGAGTTTGATTTCAAGGTGTTTGTGTGATTAGGGAAGGATACCATACCACCAGCCACCCTTGGGCAGTTCGGGTTAAACTCACACTGTAGACGATCATGGCCATTATACACATGTACAGTACCTGTACGCGTACTGGTAGCCGTGCATACATGTACATGTATGTGTCTCTGAACTTAGGTGGATCTTGGGCTGCTGAAGGTTCGGATTTCCATGTGAATATTGAAACTTGCTGATTGCTTCCTTTCAGGTTGAGATCATTGAAAGAAAGTGCCTGGCCTTGTTTGGGAAGGACTATAAGTATACGGTGAGTAGACTTTAGTATAAAAGGTGTCACAAGTAGGACAGAGTCGATTCAAATAATTCACAATTAAAGTATTCGACTTTCAATTTGATGGAATATCCAAATATTCGGTCGCACAGACCGGCAGATTGTGGATGAACAAACCATATACAAAATCAGTTGAAATAACACGCACAATTGTACATTATGATCAGTATAATACATGTAGCTACTCACATTTAGGAGTATCTCCAGCTACAACTTAGCAAGATTGGAGAGACAAACACGACTTCTTGCCCTGTTGAAAATTTCTATTCCTTTTAAATTGTTTAATGAATAATTTACTTTTTAAATCGTTCTAAGATTTCTGACACTTTTCATTTGAATCTGCTTGAAACGAACCTCCATAGTGCAATTTTTCTCATTTAAAACAAAAGAAACTTTTCCCTTCCTTTTCATGAATTTTGCATTCCAATGTTCCAATTAAAAAATTGTATTCGACAATTGATTGAATATTTAGTTATTGGGATATTCAACTCAGCCCTAGTCACAAGGGTAAATTGAGGATACCTTAATTAAATGCTGAACCCAACAAGGTTATGCAGGATTTCAATGGTCCCAAGGGGGTTAGGGTTAAATTCACAGTGCAGAGGCTTGTCCTTAAAACTGTGCATGTTAGCCTCTCATATTTTCTTTTATTCTACTCGTAGCCTGCTATTTTTAACTTTGTTTAACGCTCATATAATTACACATGTATGTATATTTTTCTTTACTTTGTTTTATATATATTAGCTCTTTCTGTTTGTTTTTTGTAATGGCATGCCTGACTCAAGCAGTGCTTTCAAGGGTTTGCCAACTCTAGTGGTTTTCCATAGCTTCAACATGCTGTTTACATGTACATACATGCACCAGTACATGTATATATATTTCGCCATAAAAAGAAAATAAATGTGTGATTCACTCATGTAATCAACCATACTTACTGTGCAGCACAAGGTTAACACTAGAGGACAGCGTCAAATAAAACCCACTTTCATGAATTCAAAAACTGCTTTTTTCTGTATAAATTATTCATTGTATTTCTCTATTTCATTTTTTTTGTGAGGATGGGACCAAAAGAACATGTACAGTGTACGTGTCTGTAAGCAGTGAGAAAAAATGTCTAATCATCAAGCTTGATTGACTCAAAGATGTTTGTGGGTTTAATTGATAAAATGAAAGGTCATCTACAATTCCAATGGAGAGCTGTGTGGTCACTACCCAGAGAAACTGGTCATCCTGGAGTACATGCTGTCTGGCAGTGGACAGGAAGAAAAAACTCTGCCAAGGTAATGTATACCATACTTGCAGTAATGCTAGAGATGTCACCCTGAACCTGAGGTGGTCTGGTGCATGTCTCAAACTTTATGGAGTGATGGAGGACTCGAGTCCTGACTCCAGTCCACCATTTTGGACACGTGATTCGGCTCTGACTTGAAGCCGTTTGGACTTGGCTCAGACTCGGCTAGTGGCTGACTTGGACCTCCTGACAGACTTGAATTAATCCACTCGAGTGTCTTCAAATATGCTTGAGAAAAGAGTTGAAATAATTGTCAAGAATAACGGCAGTTGTTTGGTCATGCATGAAATCTTACAAGGGAAAAATCTCTTTTAGATACCGGTACTTGTAACCTGCGAGGTTGTAGAGGGATTGCTAGAGACAAATTTGCCATCCTCTTTCACTCCTCATTCACTTACAGCCTTCTGGCTCTGACCTATCTGTTAATCCCATGTAATGTGCTGTAACAGCCATTAAACGACTGGACATGGACTCGACTCAGACTCGACAGTTTGGACTCGAATGTGTACCAGACTTGGACAAAAAATGAACTCGGACTTTGCAGGGACTCAGGGTTTTGAGAACGCAGATCGACTCATACTAGGATGAAGTGGACTTGTCAACATGTACGGTACATCACTGCAAAGTTGTACTCAACAGACTTCCACAAATGCCATTTATCCAGTTTTGCCGACATGAGCTTGTATTTTTTGGCTCAATGTCATGACTTCCAGTGGATTTGGAGGTTTCTGGCATATTCCATTTTATCCCATGTCACACAGTGACAGTCTGTGTTGCTTCTCTTCTTCAGTGTCGAACCTCTGTACGACATTCAGAAGATCCGAGAGCTGATGTTGAAGTCACGGTTTGCCCGTTGCCGACAGCGCTTCGTAGTACCAATTATCCTGTATGAAGGAAAGGTATGGCAGTGGGTCCTGTACCAGTTGGAATGCATTGTAAACATTGACCCAAAAGGGATTTTCTTGTTGTTTTACAAAACTTGGCTTTATCTTCAGGCTACAGTTTACATGTACATCCTTAAATGGGAGTCTCTGAAACAAGGTTCAACCTGTCAGTTCCCATTGTCACCAAATGCTGGGGTGAGATTTTTCAGCTTTTCAGCTGATTTCAGGTTTTTTTGTTTTGGATTTCAGCTTTTTTTCCTCACTGGCTGTGTGCAAAAGTATAGGAGATTTTCATAGTTCAACGTCTTTATGCCTTTTTCCAGCTGTCAATTATTTTTCCCATTAGTCAATCGCATCCCTGCAAATGGTAATGGGTAAATTTGGGCCTTAATCCTGAGCAGTTGGTGAGAAAAACACACTGTATTTAGCACTTTACAAAAACAAGGTGAGTGGCCATAAAAATTACATGTTTAGCTAACTCTGGGGAGTTAGGGTTAAAGGCACATAATCTGGTAGGATTTCTCCCTGTAGTCATGTTTGTTCTCAGTAGAAATGTACGTATCTTGTATTGATACCGGTAGGTTTGCTGTAATATTGTACCTATGTACATTTCCTGTGTTTACAATGTAGAGCAGAGGCTGCACTGGATACCATACCATCACCAGTCCTCTTTGAAAAAATAGAAAAAGTCATTGCCACAAGTGCACACACTTTTAAAATGGATTGTACTGGCATGACTGGTATTCAGAAGAAAACCAACCTAACTCTCACTGTGTACTGGGTTTACACCAAGCAGCACCAGTAACTACATGTACTGCATTGCTTAAAGTTAAACGTGTTGTTGATGCCTTTTGCAGCATATATGTAGATCGGCAACACTGTCAGGTGGACCAGAGATCTATGGACGATCTGGGTTGGATTACTTCTTTTCAGGTCAGCTGGTCATTGTAATTTTGCTTTGTGCTTCTTTTCATCTACATGTAACAACGAATGTTTTTTTGTCGCTCTATCTGACTGCATTAGTCCTATATCATTGTTCCTTTATTTTGTCTGATGACGGCAAGCCTCAAGTTTAACTTTTTTTTCACTTACACACCACTTTCCCGTCTCTGATTTTCCACTTACTCGTTCCTATAAAAGAATGACTAACCAATTTGTTCATCTTCAGATCAGGCCAATCAAAATAATAGTTGTGCTTCCTATCACATGTACATTAAAAGAATTATGTTGGGTAGGTGGGTAGTATGCTTTTTTTTTTATGTAAGTTTTTGGGTAAAAAATTTTAGGGTGTGGAAAGTTTTGATGGTCTACGGTGTATTTTGCGCGAATTCATAACTTAAGGATCGGTCTTGTCAAAGATTGTATCTAAGTCAGAGCCTCTTCGGACAATTATACATTAGTGTTGCACTGATGAGTTTTAATGAGTTTTGATAAGCTCGTGAAAATGATAACACGAACCCGCATGATGATAAATGACACAATAACTTTGGCCCATGCCAGAAACCCTCTACATGTATAGGCGAAAGCAAAAATGTATGAACTTCATTTCAAGCTATAAATTCACAGTGAAACGTGTGCTGCCACGAGTTATAGTGGAGATTGTCAGTCACTTCTTCCGCTCATGCAGGAACAGCTGTAATGAGTCCCACCAACACACATATCATGAATATTGATGTTTCATTGGCGGCCAATCACAACACAATGACCGGATAGTCCTAGGATATTGTTTATACGCAAGGCTTGTGCTTCAAGCCACACAGATACGTATCACTGTACGCACGTACTGTGCATGTGCAGTAGTCATTTTAGTCGCGTGCATTTCATAGAGCTGCAGTACTGTTCTGTGTCCGAACGATGATATCGCAGATTGTAGTGTATACAATTTAGCAGGTTCGGAGCCTGGACGTCCTTGTGAAACCCAGAGTAAATACATGTAAGTTAAAGGAGTTAAGTGAAAATAGAAACATTCACACAAGTGTTTCTGTGTGTATAAATGATTTATTCATACATTCATTCATCATTAATCTCACTCAATCTGCACCACGGCTTTAATTGACACTTGTCCATTTTTGAAATTCACTTATTGCTTGGGAAAATCCACTCACTGCCAGTAAGTGAGTAAGCGTTAATTTCAAGGCTTGGATGATGGGCCATTCTGTGAATCTACTTCCAGAAATGAATGGTAGAAATACATTTTGAGAGTGAGACACTATTTTCAACCTGGAAATCCTTTTTAGAAGTCAGATGCATCTTTAGGAATGATGCAGCATTGCTCCTGTCTTTACCCTTACATTTATTACAAGGAGGAACTCCTCTCAGGGAGAAAAGAATTATTTGAAGATCAGAAAGATTTAACCTGTACTAATTTAAGTAAATGTATTTATGTACCTTCTATATTTTTGATTTTCTTAACCCACATTTGCAAACCCCGTTGACATATTTATCATTCTGCCATCATTCTAAGACTCCGATATTTATGTAATGTTTCTCTTCTTATTAGGTGGTGAGAGTCTTGGAAGTCAAACATCAGACAGTGAAGACTTGTTAGCCGGACAAAATGCCACAACCAGGTACCATTTATGCCCGAGTTCTTCTAAAGATTAACACAAAATCAGTGAAGCTGAGTAAAGTTATGCTTTACAAGAACCAAACTTATCGAAAATGTGAGAAAAGTGTGGCTCGCTTGGCTTTCTAAATAGTTAAACAGCTTCCACATGTGCTTCCACCATGTTGGAAATTTATTCTTTCTCGTTGGTTTTTCAAAGAGCAGGGACCTCTTAAGCCTCATCAGATCTAGTGAAAAATTGTGCCAATTTTGCCATTGATGGGCAAATTTACCAATTGTTTGGCGAAAAGTCTGTACTTGTATGTGGGCCCTGTGTATGTACATGAGGTTATTTCATGTCGAATGAAAAGAAATTGTTCGGAGAGGAAAGCCACATGAAATGTTTCAGTAAACAAATGCTCAGTGGCAGTCATCATTGATTGATTAGTTTTAATATCTATTCTGGTAAGACTTCAGTTGTCAAATAAATCGCAAGAGCCGAGAGGCAAAACTCTGGTGCACTTTGAGTCAGTGTTTAAGTGAACAAAGAAAATTGAAACGATGGAATGATTTGGATTAAGTGAGAAATACCTCTACTGGTACATGCTTCTTGAATTTCTGTTGATGACTGCAGCAGCAGTACGGGCAACAATGAATGGCAGCTGTTTGATCGATTCCGGGGCCAAGACATTAAACTTCTCAAGATGCTGTCCGTGGGCTGCATCTCCGATTTGATGGTGGAAAACAAGAAAGTTAAGTTTGGCGTGAAGTAAGTCGGTTTTGTAGCAACTCATTAATTCCCACCTTCCTCTTCGAGAGGGATCAGTTTTATGTTTGTGATGTGCAGTAGCAGGATAGGAGGTTCAAATTCAGCCATTTGTATTGTGTCGTGCCCCTGAGTAAGGTCCCCGAGCAAGAAAAATAGTTTGAGAAGCAGTTGCTGTGTCTTTGAATTGAACCACATGGCTAGGCTTTTTGTCTGATGATTCTAGCTTGGATCAAAAGCATGAAATTATCCAGGTTGCTGATAAACGTAGTAGTACATTCACACTATCTGAATTGAACTCAATTTTTGAAGTCTGCATGGAATTTTCCATTTAATAGTGCAGTATCCATTTCATATGTAATTTCAAACATAATGCAAAGCTGTTATTTCAAATCTAATTTAAAGCTTGACATAAAGCCATTATAAAAAAAACAGACATCAACTATTTAAAGCTACATGTAACTCCAGGCAGGCTAATGATTTTAGGATCAGCATGGACCACTTCATTGCATTGGTCAAACTTACAGACCAACCATGGCAAACCTTGAAAGACTGGCCAACTCTCGGAGACAGCTTAAAGTCCGGTTATTGCGATCTCCTCCTGCCTGATCAACTGAAAAACTGCCAAAATGCCAAAAGCAAAAACTTCAAGTGTACTTATCCAAATTGCTTTAACCTAGCTGATGTTTTACCAACCCATCAACTGTATCGGGCAACTGTTCAAGGTGTCCTGTTCTTGACCCTCTCGTTCTCAGTGTTTCCTCCTCGGAGAAGGTGGACAAGGAGCATCGGTACGCCGATTTCAGCCTTGTATCTGTGCCTTACCCTGGCTGTGAGTTCTTCCGGGATTACAGAGAGAACGGCTTCAATGCCGAGGGGCTGTACTATGACTGGAGCCAGGTGAGCAGATGGCTTTGTGAATCTTTACACCTAAGCATTTGGAAAGCCTAATAATGGTCTGCGAGAATTTTTCCGACATTCTAGCATTAATAATGACGGACTCTTTTAACTTGAAATGTTTCTCTTTTGTTGTTCAAACCAGCTACCCAGAAGCATTTGCTGATGTCAATTATGTGTAGTTTCATGTTTACATTTATTACCTCAAAAACTGAACACTTGCCTCACCTTACAGCTGTGATTTATAAACAGTTGTGTATATCCTTACATTTACCATGTTGTAAATGATGACCCGTAGAAAAATCATGCTGGACATAACATCACTTCATGTTGGTGGTGATCATTAATAATAATGAATATATCAACAGACATGTGTATGAAAGCTAAGAATTCTGTGCTTATTAGCCCTTCTGTGTGGACAGTATAGCATGTTGATCGTGAATGAGAATTCAGTGGGTTACAGTGTCAAGAAATCAAATCTCAAGGCCATTGGGTGTGGATGATCCCATGGAGCTTCCAAGCAGGAGGCTTTGCTCAACTAAACCAAAGTAAAGAGAGCTATCATCAGGAAGAAGAACCTGTTCATCTGCTTTTCACCCTGGGGACAATTCTGTGTGAGAGGCAGTCGCAGGCTGGCATTTTGACCGGTAGCCAGATTTTGCTCGGTCAACTTCTAATGTGCTAAGTGTACAGGTACTTTAATTGAAGCTTGACTGTCCGTCGAGGGTCCACGTGAGTGGATGTACATTTCACCAGTTGTTCAACCTTTGTTTGCTGATACAGGATTTTGTTGATGCAGGACTAAGCATTCCAGAGAACCTCACAAGTAAACTTGGCATCGACTGGCGGAGTTACAGGGTGAGTGTGGACTTTTGATTTTGATACTTAACCATACCCCAGTATCCCTGAAAATCGACCGTTAGGTTTTTGGAGGATTAGGAAGGATCGTGAAGAAGGTAGAGCCCAGTCACTGTTACTTGACAAAGGCCTTGATGTTTCTTTTGGTTTTCTGGGTAGAGGAAGGTTCCTTGAATTGTCAAGGGATCAGGATTAATGGCTACTGTAACACTTGTTAAATGTTCATGTTGATAAGAATACAGGCCTGCAGATGAGATTTGAACAAGAAATAAAGGGAAGTGATCAAGCAAAATAAAAGTGCGGTATTTTTCATATCAAGAAATAAACATTCCGAACATCTCATCTTTCCACAATTCAGCTCCTATGACTTTTGGACTGAGAGTCGAATTGCATCAACACAGGGTTTTCACAGCATTGAAGCTGACAGTGTTTTCTTTTTAAATGTTTTAAAACCCATAATTTGACATGGACCAGCAAAAGACTCATTTAACTAACTAAAGGCAAATAATGAATCTCTGAATTTCTGGATTTTAAAGGTTTGTTCGGGGGGATTATCAGAGTTTATTATTATTTCACGTCTTCAATTTTTTGTGATCCTATGTCATTAATCTTTGAGACCCTTTTGTCTTTAGCAGACCTGCCAACTAGTACGATTTAGCCGTATTTCCCACAGGAAATTCTTGAAAATAAAATCTTACGTTTTCTCCCCAATAAAATACTGGTTTTGACAATTTTGACAGGCCTGAAGAAAACTGTAGTTCAATGGTTGCAAGTATACATTGTAATATACTAAACAGCTGTGTGTTTGCACAGGTATATGTGCAATGTACTGTACATGTATGTGTGTACAGGGTATGCACGCACGTGTACAAACCTCGTGTGTAAACAGCATCCGGCAACCACCTGATCATTATGTTGTGATTGGCTGCCCATGAAATAACAATATTCATGTTGCATTAGTGGGACTCTTTAAAGCCGCTTGTGCATCAGTGGAAGTAGTGACAATCTTCAGTATTTTTTATGTTGTGCACATTTCACGGCCACTGTAAATACTGTATGCGGCTTGAAGTAAGGTCTTTCGCCGATAGTTAGAGGGCTTTGTGGCAACCGGTGCAGGGCAAAGAAATTGTGTTGTACATTATTGCACGGCTTTTACAATTTACATTTCTATGACATGTGCATCGTTTCTTACAAGATTTCAAACAATTTTTGGATATAGACTCATCAACATGTCAGTGCAACACCTGTGTATGAATTGTCTATTAAGAGTCCGATTTGAATGCAATATTTGACAAGACCAGTTCTCAAGTTAAAAATCTGCGGAAATAAACAAAGATGGAGACGTTTTATGGCCGGCGACAAAATTGGTGCCACGAAATTCCAAAGCCTTGACTTGCAATGTGCATTTCAAGATTTCATATTTTGAAAACGTGGAAATAGGGCCGTTTCACTCTTCAACCTCGGCAATAGATTTCTCGCGTGAATCAAACTGTGATTATTTTATGCGTGAAGAAGTATTGATGCAAATTTAGCCCAAGTTACTCGGAGTAGACCCAATCCAGACAAGGTGGTCAAAACAATTACGTGGAGGAATATGCTCATTTTTTGCAAAATACGATTTTTTAATGAAAAATACGACTTTTGAATTTTCAGAATACAGTTTTGTGGTCCAAGAGGTTGGCAGGTTTGCTTTAGTGTCAAATTCCATATCCCAGTACCAGTTGAGACTTTAATTTCTTTTTTTTTTTTTTAATTTAATGCAGAGGTGTAATTTCTCAGGATTTGTTCAGATTTCTGAATCTGTGACCTCAAAGTACTACATTTTGTCGTGGTTTAATCATTCAGGTTTTGAGACCATATTTTGTGCTTTGTACATAAAAATCACATGCAAGATTCACATAATCATTGCCTTTGGGGAGAGAACTAATGCATTGCTAGTTATCAAAAGCACTTAAAAGTCTAAGTTTTTTCTTTCATTTTACTCTCTAGCCCCTCTGTTTAATGGATTTTCTCTTTATTGCCCAATCCCACTCCACTTGATAAATTGTAAGACATGACACTGAGAGCTGTGTATTGCTGTATTAATGAGGAGAACAGTTGCTTTTTAGTTGCCATCAATATTATGCTGTTTGCCTTGCTCTTTTCACAGTCATGGGATCTTGTTAAACTTACCCAGAACTACTTAAAACTCTTTCTGCATGTCATCAAACAAGGTGAGCCAGAGCCGAGTTTTGGTTTTGGTTGGCTGAGATAAATAGCCCAAGCTTTTATCTAGGGGTGGATATAGTCAAATTATAAATTGGTGTACATGTACGTGCATGTAGGGATTGGAAGTGCGTAAAATGCCACTCCACTTCCTGTGTCAGATTTGACTGTGCATTTCCCATGACAATGGAACTAAATTTTGAGTAAGGGTTTCAGGAATGGTGTTAATAATGAAATATTTTTAATGTGCTATAAGCTGTAACAATACTGCTCATAATGTAATTTTTTTGTCGGAGGTTATTTCGATGAAAATCTGGGTCTCCCAAGACCGCTACATATCCAAGGAATAAAAGAATGTTCTCTCACTGTATGTCATTCCATGGCTCACTTCTTATTTTCTCCACAACTACGTACATAATTATACTCGTGTAATGTCAAATATGTATTGATAGCTTATTACCTGTCTGAAACAAAAGAATTAATGAATTCATCGATGGAGTAAAAATTGTGAAGTTTATGTGCATTGCTGTGAAGCTAACATGCATGCCATCTGAGTATGACATGGACATGTACATGTAGGATTCAATACCAAAAGTGAGTGGGGCTGTTTTGAGTTCAGCAGTTCCACCGGTCTTTTCTCTCTGTAGGAGAAACTGGCCTTCTCATACATTGCATCTCAGGATGGGACCGCACGCCCCTCTTTGTCTCTCTGCTCAGGTTGACGCTATGGGCGGTAAGTGCTCGGTGGGAGGGGTTACAGGCTCTGTACAATGGGAGTGGTATGTGTACATATACGTGTAGTTGGCCAGTGATCCACAATCGAACTTATTCTGTGCTTTATAGATGTACACTGCTTCTGCATGTGTAAACTGCTTCAGGTTCAGATGTCTCAGTCTGTGCCTGTGAGGATACTGGATATGCCCGTGCATAAATGCAGCTATGTACATGTATTGGAAAAATAATTCAGTAAGCATGTGCAGGTGTATAGCACCTCGTCTGTAGGTGTACCACACTTATAGTGTTGCTGAATGATCCCCAAAAAGCTTAACCCTACCCCCTAGGCCCTTTTTTGCCAGGGACCCTCCTCAACCCTCCAAAATCCTCCAATTTGAAGGGATGAAAAAAATTGGATTCTCCTTAAATCCTCTGAAATCCTCTAAACTTTCTTGGAAATGTTACTTGGAGGTGTGCCTACTGCCTCAATCCTTAAAAATCCTGTGGCAATTCCTGTCATTATGTTGAGGCAGTGTGATCCGCATTCTTGAGCAGTGTGGTTGATTCAAAAGAAATATTATGCACGACTCGGCAAAAACTACACAAGATCTAATCCACGACCTCCACGCATGGCATCCTTCGCAATTAGCCGTGCTTTTTTGGCATTCATCTTCCATTGTCCAAACTCCTCCAAAACTACCTGAAGGATTTTGGAGGATTGAGGAGGGTTAGGAGTTTTTGCCACTGTAGTATACCAGGTATGCAGATAGCTCCTGCTTGGTCTGTTTAATTTCTGAACCATACTGAAAGCTTTCCTTCTTCGTCGTGAAAACTCTAACAGTGTTGACCCGAAGTCTCTTTCAAGTCGGGGACCTCGTTTGAACCTGAAGCAATGAAGACAAAAGCAGGATTCAGGAAGTTGTCTGAGATTGATGTGAATTTGCCTTCAACATTTGGCCCAACATTCTCTCTCTGAGCAGCATTTGATATTTGTTTTCACTTTTCCTTCACTTCTCAGGATGGGATGGCACACAGGAACCTCAGTGCAGCTGAAATCTTGTATCTCACCATTGCCTACGACTGGATGCTGTTTGGGTACGGCCAACACACATTCGTTGTTATCAGTGTGTTTGTAAACATTTATGTCAGTCATTATTTCAGTCTCATCATCTGATGCGACCTTAGGTGCCGTGCCTACCAGGATACATGCGTGTACCCCTCCAAACAAAACTGCATAACCCTCATGCCTGTAACACAGGCAAAACACCTGGCAGTAATACAACCTGCTGCTATGTGTAACTTATGATCCGGTACCTCTCACACAGAGCAGTGAAGCGTTAACTTAGATGCAGGTACATGCACCAACATACCCTTAGAAACCAACTTAGTCATACCAGTGTGTGTTAAACATCATATATGTATTTGACTTGGTCTCAGATTCTGCTTATATGCACAATGCCCAGATCAAAGAAAATGAACAAATTTGGATACCGTTGGATGGATAGCACTCGACAAGTGTACATCTTACCTCTTTTTATTTTTATCAACATGGCAAATTTAGCTTTGGTTTTTATTCTCTTTCCAGGCACAACCTCTCAGACAGAATAGGCAAAGGAGAAGATGTGAGTTCAGTGTTAAAGTATATCTGTTCCTGTCTCAAATTATTTAAAAGCTGGTTGTCAGTGCATTGGGTATTTTCCAATCTTGCCGCATAGATCATGTAGTCAAAATCCTAGAAAAACATGCTAACATTAGTTGAGATATCTTCTTTTTTTTCATTCGTTACACCTTGTCAGGTGTGTTCATAAGTGAAATATTAGGTTATACACTTGTCTGTTGTAGATGAATAGATTAATGTGTTTAATCTTTGGATATTTTAGTTTTTCATTTTTTTTTCTTTAGTAATTTCGCTGTTTAATCCAGTCTGGGCAGGTGCACGGATTTGTTTTTGTCTTATACACATCTGTATCAAAATCTTTCAGTTATCCAGATAAGCCTGAATTGTCATTTGGGGAAGAAACAGTTTGATGGAAAGAGATTAGTTTTGCATTTTTCCATTTTATTCCCATAGATATTCTTATTTTGTTTCAACTTCCTGAAACACATAACATCAGAAGAGTTTTCGGTTGCCGTCAAAAGGTAAGAAGGTCATTGGTGAAATGCTTGACAAAATACACATCGCACAGGTAATGAAAGGGTCTGTTTACAACTTTATTGTGTAGGTAAGAAATGGAAAATTCGTTGATGTAAAGTTTGGATGACCTTAAAGTGTCCCATTTTGTGCTTCGGAAATGCCCACAGGAAGTATGCATGAAATAACCAATTTTAAATGTTTATTCACACAGAAATCAAAGGTCTGTCAGCAGAACGGACTCTGAGAGTTGTATGGATGGCATGGTCTTATTAGGTAAGAACTCTGGTTTTCAACCAGACTCCCTCTTTAGATTATTTTCCCTCTATGAAAAAACACCAAAGCAAGATTTTAAACTCCTGGAAAAGTTGCTAGGAGCTGTACTGCTTTTTCAACAAGATGAGAGAAAAACGTTAAGATTTTGAGTAAAAACTGCAATAAGTTCTCTGCGCGTGAAACGTTCTAACTCATAGACAAGTGAAGAACTGTGAGGTAATCGAAAAGACAGGTGTAGTTAAATTTGCCTTGCACATTGCTTCATGATTTAACTAGTTGCATATGGTATTATATCACAGCAAACTTGTAGCCAGGCGTGGTATCATGGTTGGCTAAAGCCAACTTTTAAAAAACAAATTATTACCATCACAATCGTATGCAAAGTTGGACTTGGCATATGCTGACCCTTGTCATATGTCCAAGATTTGTAAGGCAATGCGGTGTTGAAACTCCAGTCTCGTAGAGTGCTTTTTGCTGTGATTTTTGGCAGTGTACAATGATACTCAGAGATCTCCATGCATGCTTGGCCTCCATGGACAAATCAGAGCCTGTGGGTTTGTGTAAAACAGTGGCAATCATTCAAGCATTTGGATAATTAGAAATGCTGGCTGCTATAGCACACAAGAATTGTCACAATCCCTGTCAAAATCACATTTATCCAGGTTATACGTGTGGTACTGGCATTTCTCCATTTGTGGTGGTTTTGCCAGCCAGCTACTCACATACATGTAGTGGTACAGTAGTTGCGTATTTGCCTTGATTCCTAGTATTCTTATCTTGTACTGTGTTGTCTCAGGCTAGCATCCCTCCACGCGCGTGCGCGTGCCAGACACTTTTAAATCACTCTTTCCTTCTGTGCAGATGTGGACAAGCAGTGCCTAGGCAGTAACTCCAGTCTCAATAGCAACATCAGCATCACCAGCCTCAGCAGTACCAGTTCACCCATCCTCATCTGCACAGGAGGAGCCCACGAAGAGGTCACCCACAGCTCTCTTAGGTGTCACGGGTGAGATGCAAGAGCCGTTTTTTTTTTTCCCAAAAAAAGGCACTGTAGGTTCTATGGTACTTTTATGCATCTATCGCAGGCACTGCAAGTTACATGTAGTCGTGTAAATCAAGAAGGCGGTGTGGTTGTGCCAAGTAGCATCAGCAAATGCAATTGGCTGTATGAAATGCGGACGTATTTGGCATGCCTGTCTGACAGCAAGTAGATCAGGGATTTTAATGTTTTGAGGACTTGCGTCAACATTTCAGATGAAACTGTGAAAGTGTTTTGAAAGCATGTGGCAGTTTTATCATTAGTTAAAAAGCCCACATGATGTTCTCTCAACCAATTGGAATTGGCAAACTGAGGTATGCATGCACTGATTTGAATGAACAGTCATGTGACTACAGGTCAAGATGCTCTATTGTGATACTGTCATGTGACATGCTTTCTAATAGGTCCCCTGCCTTGGACAATGGCAAGCCCCGAACCCCCACGCATCGAGAGCCTCCCAGATCACCCCCAGCCGTATCGGCAACCAGCCCGGTAGCTGTGCCTAGACAGGTCAGGAGGTCATCAGGAGAAGTTGTGAGTTCCTTACAGATTGACTAGTATTTTGCCACCGGACCAGTGATTATGTTCGAACCATACAGTCTAGATTTATGTAGTTTGCTGGCAACACTAAGTAATTTTGAAGGTTACAATTACACATATATGGAAATCATATATACATGTTTATAGTGTATCAATCTGCCCACCAAAGTCTAGGCTGAAAAAAAAACTGAACAATGATTATTTTTATGTCCGGAAATCTTTTAGGCCAAGTCGGCAGCATCATCAACATGTGGGAGGTTAGTATTTTTTGCATATGGTATGCTTAGTTTCCATCAGTACTGGAACCAACAAAGGTGTAAGGACTGAACATTTAACATGCCAAGGGGAACATGCATAAGTAGTCAAGAGACCCAGATCCTGTGACTTACAGATGAGGTTGCACTTTGCGGTGCTGACCTCTTTTCAATAGGGGCCAGATTAGCATGCAGCATGGTTCATCGCTGCGGTGGTGGAGCGCTTTTGTCCCCGGTGGTAATCTGCCCGCGCTAAATCCCCCAAACTGTGGTATACTGTTTCAAAACAACGCTGGATTATCTCCACTATTAACAGTGAATAATTGTTGGTCATGCCCAGCAGCCTGGTCTTTTGTTACGAGTACAGTCTTTTGTTACAAGGCCCAGTTCCCTTTGTCCAATTTCGGAGACCCCAGCCACACGTATAAAGAATACGTGTCCGGTACCGGAAAACCCCGGCTGCAAGTGGTTAAAAGTCTGTCTTGAGAACAGTTCTAAAAGATATTGAGTTATTTTGTTGCTTCCCATGAGAAGAAAAATGCACAGAGCACAACTGGTCCACTTGAATGCCTTCAGTGCCTTGGGTATTAATCCAATCTCTCTTGCCATGGCTTTTGGCATCTTATCAGCACTCATTGATTACTTGTGACTTATGCCATCCAACAGTTGGCAGCTGGTATCCCACACGGGCAGTGTAAAAGGTTATGTGTCATCCAGAGACTCACCACTTACTGTGCATTCCGATGTGTCGAGTAGTTCCAGTGGGACAGCCAGCAGTGGACCAGTGTGAGTTTCAAAATGCTCAGTCCTCCAATACAATTTGTCAGACACCCTAGGGGATGAGGGAAATGCAGAAAGACTGCATCTGTCCTCAGCCCTAAATATCCGCGACCTTGACCCATCTGTGCCTCTGTAAATGCAAACTTTAAAGATTTCAAAACCATAGGTGGAGATTTGGTTTACAGTTATGCTTCATTCACAGTGCTTTCTAAGAACCTTTGAGTTTTCAGACTTGCACTGAGCAAACATTAATATGTACATGTACATGTCTTTACCCAGCAGCACTTGTATTGCATGTTTATGCATGTCAGACTCTGTGTGGACATCTGAACAAAAGATGTCAACACAGTGGGAGCTGCAAAGACCTTGTGTGGACTTGCCCATGTCCATACAAAGTTCCCCTCCTCTGAAAAGCACATTTAGAGGCATTTTCGAAGTAGGGTTACATGTATGTGTCACAGAATGGAGAGGAGCAGTTGAGGAAATTGTCAAAAAGTCTAGCTCAAAAGACTGTTCACATTCCAAGCAAAAGGAGAGCTTTCATCGTGTTTTCTTAACTATGCAAAAACAAAGGAATGTTCATATTAGGTATGCAATGCTAACTTGTGTACTTGTATTTAATCCAGCTGCACTGATGTTACTTTAAACCAATAGCACTCATGTGATATTGATTGTATTATTGTACTGGTGTAACTTTGTATTTATTCCTTGATGTGTCACAAATACCACAAATTCAGGGAGTGCTGTGTAGCATACAAGCAGATTTTGGGTTAGGCAGGCAATCCAAATATATGTCCTCAATTCTTTAGTCTCAGATGGTTCCATACTCCTAATTGGTTGGATATCTTCTTGGATCAGGGTCGTGGGTGGGGTCCAATTGAAGAGGAAAATCCAAATATGTCCTCAGTTCTTCAGTCTCAGATGGTTCCGTATCCCTGATTGGTTGAATATCTTCTTGGATCAGGGTCGGGGGGTCCAATGGAAGGGGAAAATCCAAATATGTCCTCAGTTTTTTCAGTCTCAGACAGTTCCATACTGATTGGTTGGATATCTTCATGGATCCCCTTGCAGGTTTGACAGCATCTGTGAAGAGTCGGAGAGGAAGCGCAAGTTGGATGAGGTGCGGATAACCTTCAACAAGTTGTACTCAGCCATCGTGGGTTCCCGCTACACTGCCGAGTCCGGGGGCATCTCCAGCATGATTGACTCCATCGTCTCCAAAGTGGGTTTGAGGTCTGGTCGAGGTACGCCAGTATAATGACCGGGAATCCTAGGTGTTTTTGTTTTTAATTAGAGCCATGTTAAAGATGTATATTTTGCTGTTGGAAGGTATATTCTTTAAAAAGGAATCTTCTAGAGCGTAATACTTTTCCTGGTCTTATCACAATCAGCATTGCTGAAACTGCGTCCCATTTTAAAATGCCGCCATTGTATTGCCAACACCATATGATGGTGCCAGACTGTCTTGTGGTGGGGGGGAGATTCATTGACCGCCATTGAGGAACTGTTCCATTTCCTAGGTCTCATGAGTACATGCATGATGTGCATATGGAAATTATAAATAGGTGCAACACATTTCCATGCTTGTTATATCAGAATTTGTTACCGTGTGCACAGTTCGTTCATTTCTGGACACTATGAGGCTATACCGTGTGGAAGACACAGGAAACGACAAAGGAAAACAGAACTTATCTGTGAACAGGAGTGAAATGTAATCTTTCCCACACACGCACGTTTACCTCCCATACCTACATGTAGCCTCGACATTTCTTTGTTTTCGTGCAGTTAAGAAAAGATGGTGAAAATACTCATTTACCATGGACTGTGAACGTTATTTTAAGCTGGATTTTTGTTTATGATTTCCTTGACTGCTCCTCTTCCTTTTGAGACCAATAATAACCCCATGTCCAAAATGCCTGAACCCGCTTTCATAGTGTGGACATGGAAAAGTCCACAAAATGTCCTGTCTTTATTGTGTGGATATCTTTTGTTCACAGGTGCACGGTATATAAGGTTAGTGCACCATATAACCTCAGGACCACAGTTGATGCCCTCGGAAATGTTACACAATCAAGCACATTGAGTATTTTGTCAGGAATCTGTATTTTGAGATGCATCTTGAAATGAACATTCCTAAAAATGCCAGGTTTCTACTGCAGTGATGTTGAGGTGTTCTTTTCAAATGTCTGAGCACTGTCCACTGAATATAGCTGAGAAGAGACTCATCTGCTTGATCACATCATGTATGACACAGCATTCTTAAACTTTCGTCAGAAGCAGAACAGAACGTTGAAATTTTCGAGGTTTCAGGCCATGTGTTGTATACACTTTTTTAAAAACTTTTAAGGTGAATCTGAATGAACTCTCCCCACCGAATCACAAAGACCCACAAATCTGGTTGTCAATTGCAGATAACGATTCAAATTTTCGATTTAACCCGATGTAATACACAACCCTGGTGTACTTTCCTTCAGAGTATGGCATTCTGATTACAAAAACCTCAAGCTTTCCAGTGTAATCTACACACAAAAGCATATGTACAAACATTTTAAAATTATTTATTCAACATAATGCAAATGAAAAATATATGTAAAAAATACCTGTACAGGCTAGAGTTTAATTCCAGTTAGATTGTATGAGAGATTTACAGGTTTTTGTTATTAATCTGAGTTATACCTACAGATGAAGTGTAAAATATCAAATTTAAAACCAAATTTCTTGCAATACAGGCAATTTCTTCAAAGACTTTTTTTATTTTAAGTAATCATATTCGCACAATCACAACTCAAAACTGTTCCCTTGTTGATTCGTTGGATAACCCAGATGTTTATATTCAGATGTGAAATTCAAACATTCCTTGAAACAACTCTTTTCCAGGGGTTGATTTGCCAAAAATTCACTGATCACAACGTTAGGAGAGAGGCATAAAACCTTGATGTTGTAAAACCTCGTGTTCATAAGAAAAATTGAGCCATCCAATTTGTGCATATAAGTCCAAGATCAGAATGATGGGTCCTTGTGTTACATGTTAGTTAGCTATCCACATTTTGGCAGGTCATCTGTGTTCTGTATACAACTCAACCCTTTCCATTTTCAGGTACATTGTTCCTGATTTCAGGACTCTCCTCTGATCATTTTTGAGGTATTCAACTGCTGTCTCCTCTGGCAGATTTTTACTTCTTTGAAACTGTCATGAACTTGAGTCAGTAGCACCATTTCCGGTTCCTACCATAATGAGCTGAAATTAAAATTTGTAGATGAAAATAATTGAAAGAAAGGCAGAGAAAAGAGCATTTTTCATACTCCACCCCATTAGACTTCATATGTGTATATAGTTGTGTACATCTGTCAGGGTGCCAATGTTGTATTTCTTTCATGGGAGTGGCAACATTGTGTCATGCATCATGTGCTGCTCATTCTCCCATACATTACATTGATGCCCTCAGCAAAATGATGTTAGTTTTCCTTAAAATTCCCTCCTTTTTGAAGCTGTCTTCAGGAGAGTTGGTCTTAGTGATTTCAAAAGGCAGTAAACAGAAATCAAAACTTCTGGATATTCACAGATCCCTACTGCAGACTTATTACTTTGTAAGATACTGTTAAATATTCAGAGCAAAATAAACAAAACCGAAAGTTTATTGATGTGCAGTTGTGTCAGCTTTTTCTGTTTCGTGGCATATCAAGCACAGCCATTGCATTTTGTGTTTCAAACTGCGTTAGCCTTCCCTTCACCAGTGGAGAGCACCAAGTAAATATGCCTATTTGGTTGGTTGCCACGGTAATTCCTCCACACGGAATTCACTGAACTGTTCCCTTGAAAAGGATGAAATGAATGTTTCAGCCGACCGTTCAGTGTGCAGAGCCATTAAACTGATGTAGCACCTTGATACTTCCAAGACTCTTTTGAAAGTGTTACTTCTATCAGCACGTGTATACTTCTTACCGAGTGCACACTCTTGCATCACAGGGCTGTTTCAAGTTGGCAGAAAGGTAAATGATTTGTGTGATGTATTCAGAGAGTAATGGGCAAGCAACATTTTGCTGCAACCCTAGGTGTTGAGCGTAGCACATATGCACACAGCCCAGTTTTTTTTAATGAACACCTTTAGAATCAGTCATCATATTAAACTTTTTAAAGTTAGATTCTCTGAGCAATTCAAGCAAAGCTTGGATTGTAACAATGGAAATTACATAAATCACACAAATGGAAAGAAGTCAAATCTCAAGACAAATGAACATCGCATTTTGCTTTTATTTACAATTTTTACAAGTTTTACCTAAAGCTTGCCAAATACCACAAATGGTGTGATTTCAACAAAGCATCCACTTGGGCCACTTTGGTGCAGAAGCATTTTGAGTGCAACTAAAGTTACATGTGGGTACAGTGTCTGGCTGGGTGAAAAAGTTTGTTTTCTTGTTTGTTGGGTCTCTCCTGAACTGTTTTCCTGTGAAGGTGCACACTTAGTGTTTAAATATTAAAAAAACACATCTACATGTACTCGTTTTCTAAGTTAAAAATCATCAAAGTGCTTACTGAAAAACCCCTGTCCTGAAATCTGCAAACAAAGCATGCCTTTTAAAAGATGATGAACCTGTATATAACTAAATGCGAAACATGGCAAGTACATGTATTGATGTGCCTGAAGTCTGTCTGTGACAACACCTCGCCAATCTAGCAAAGGAGAATAGAGGGTTTTCACGGCTGTCATCTTGCAGGCTAGTTCTTTTGTTCCACAGGGTATGCATAAGGGAGGTTTTCCTGTGAAACAAAAGAACTGTCCTGCAAGATGGCTGCCATGCAAAGCCTCTATCATCATTAAACCTTTTTGTTTATGGCCATGGTCATTGCCAGGATTTGTTTCGGGGGGGGGGGAGACAGAGATCTGCAGAGGCAACTTACAACTTAATGGTGGACAGGGGTCAATCCCAAGGAAATTTTCTAGCAAATCTCTTTTCATCCCTTCTTTTGTTCCTTTGATTTTCTTCTATTTTCTCCCCTTGTTACTTTCAAATTTTTTGTGGGGGTGGGGTGGGCTAGATGGGGAAAGCCACCATATTTAGGGACATCTGCCTTTGATAATTTCCTTCTAGCTCTAATTCCTTATAAACACTGCCACCATTTCATTGATTGACGGGATGTGTAATCAGTCCCTCTGAATTGTCTGGTTAAAGTTTTTTTCAGCCAAAGAGCTTGAAGCAGCCAGTGCTAGAACAGTAAGGGTTGCCCGTCATTGGTGATAGCAGCTCAAACCACCCTCAGGAGCCATCTCTCAGCCTAAACTTGTTCAAAGGTCGCTGAAGCCTTCTTCAAGGCAACTTTTCTGTTTGGGGGAAAACATAACGGAAAGTAGGGTCATTTGATAGCTCATCTGGACTCGGTCAAAAAGATACATTGGTGGTCTAGACACACACCACGTCTACACGTTTTAGAGCCGAGAGTTTTTTAGTCACCAAACTTTGAATACAGCTCATCAAGGGATCAAATTGGCCTCCATCACTGATGACTTGAAAGGGGCCTGAAGTGTGCTAGGAGAAAAGTTAAAATGATTTCCCATCCAGTAATCAATGATTGCAAACATCAACAATATTTTGCCTCTCTAGAAAACCTGAGATCACCAATCCAAAACAAAAAACAATTAGGAACTTACTGACCTATTCTTTTTTTTTTTATTTCCAGCTACCTGTTTTAAAACTACAGCTTCTGGGGAACAATGTCACTTGTGAATGGTGGCTTCTCTTGAACTAGCTTTGGAATGCATGTGGTTATGCACTAATCTATTTCACACAGTTTTCTTCTTTGTTCCCGAGTCCAACGCCATTATGGATTGTTTTAGAGTGTTTTCCGTGACAAACCATTACCGTTAAAAAGCTCCAGACGGCACTGGATTTAGCCAACAAATTTGCACTTACACTTCCCTTGTGAATGATTCCTGTGTGATCCTGTCGATGTCTGCTCCGGCAGGATGAGGATCTGCACTCTGACAACCAAGGGTGTCAATCGCTGCAATGACCCAGAAGGATGATAAAAAAGATTTGGATTTATTCCTTTCAACTGCACCAACTAGCTCAATACCAGAAGCTAAGGGGCTGCAACCCCCTAAATACTTGTGCCAAATATTGGTTCTTGTTCAGAAACATTTCCTAGAATGTTGAAAACTGAGCAAACATTCAAAGACATCCATGATGAATGCTTTACAAAATCACACCCTAAAACTGAACCACCTAAAATCATTGAACCACTCCAAAATATTTTGATCCTGAAACATACCTGATGTAATGTTACAACTAACTTTTCTGAACAGGCCTTGTTGGAATTTCATATGCACTTGCAAATCATTAGAATTCTTTAATTCTACTAGATCAATCTACAAAAAATAAATCAGCCGATTAGATTTCTGGAAACAAAAGGTCATAAAGTTAAAACTCCTGTAACTTGACAGTTCAAGATGATTACTTTGAAAAAAGGTCTGGGGCTTAAACAGTCAGGATTCTCAAACCATAACTAAATATAAAGTGTAATTGCAACAAAAATACCTTGTTTATACTGGTCTAGGGTTATAAACCCCTTTTTTGTGGGATCTAACATTCCAAAGACAGATTCTATGTTGGACTCATCAAACAGGCAAGGGAAGTCCAGCTGTGTGGTCCTAGATTCCTTGAGTTTCTCAATGTAGTCAATCATGAAGGCCTTGGGATTATCTACCCAGTTAAGGAAAAACACAGAAAAGGCAACAGGCTTGATGACTAATAACTGCACTAACGACCACTGATGACTGGATGCAGTGACGAGAAAATCCCCAAACATTGCATAACATTACTGGCATTCATTTCACAATGTAATCATCATAGCCTGGGTTAATGATGACACTGGGCACTACCAGTCAATCTGCTACAATAACTAAAATCTTTGACACAATCTGTTGATCTTATGGCATCAGTTGCATCATGCATGCATGATTTGCCTATGATTCTACCATCATTCACTTGTCTTTGCTTTGCAATTTGCACCTGCAGAGGACTGTTTTCAATGAGGGCAAGTAGACCTGAAGTCAGAGATTACACACAGGATCGACTGATATCACACCATGATCTTGCGATCATGCTCAGTGGTGTACATGTACATGTATATCTGTGCCAGGGATGGTTGGAAGGGGAAGGGTGGGAAGGAAAGAATTCAATATACGGATGCCTATAATTTGCTGTGACCCATTAGCCATGTCAAAGTAATAATGTCCCATAAAAACCCAAATTTAGCCGTCTAAATCAAGTACGTCAAATAGCGGCTCATAGAGGGCACGCTATTTGGTCGTTTTCAGCATGTCGCGTCTCTGAATCAGTCTGAATATGATGCCTTCAGATTATCGCCCATTGCTAGAGTATGGTGGGGATATGTGATACTAGACGTTGACTGACAACTGGCGATATATTGCAGTACAAACCAACGACACTCTGGTTTTTGTAGGACGTTTTGAAACTGGTTGGATCATCTGACAATCGTGCTCGTGCATTTTATCAGGGGTTACCTGAAGACAGGATATTATAACAAAAAAGGCTATTATTTGTAAGCTACAATCTACATTTGTGAAATTTTTGTTGAAATTCATCAGATTGCACAAAATTTGTATGCTCTGCCGAAAAGTGATTGCCACGATTGCACAATACAAATTGCATGCCATGTGTCATGAAGTGATTTTTTAGTGGAATTTTGTCACACAGTGTGCTTTTAATATAGGCAACATCGATTGAATATTGTATCAAAAACAACATTTTAAGTAGCATTTGAAGTGTTATTATGCCCAATCTGTAATTGTTATGTACAAAGAAATAGCCAATTGCAAAGTGGATGAAGATGGATTTTTGTGGCTTCCCTTTTTGGACTCTAATTGGATGGAGTCCTCATTCAGTGGCACATATTCTCACTTTTTGTAATTTGTTTCGTCCTGCAAGTTATTATTTGGGGGGAGGGTGAGTGGCATACTAGTTTAATTAACAATAATTTTATTGCGGTTAACTACTGAAAAATAACCAGTGGTTACACAGGTAATAACAATCATATTGACAAGATCTCCAATGCTCACGTACTTTAGTTGATCTTTCGTTGGTGGAGGGCCCTGTTCTTGTAATAACATGTACATACATGTACATGTATGACAATATTTGAAATAATTAATTAGTGCCAAAATTTTTCTTTTTTTTATTAATCAGTATTGAACAATATTTTTCAAGTTCGTTTGATGCTAAATCCCCAAGAAGTTTTAACTTAATCTTCCAGGTATTTAATAAGTTGTGAAATGATTAGTCCTAGTAAAACAACTTCAATTTGGGTCACAGTTTTCTGATGGGCCAATAAGCTTAATATGCAGGACACTTAGATGGGAATACTTAACTTCCCCCAAATTTTATAACTTCGTTAATATGGGATGGCACAGGCATCCGGGACTTTTGCAAAATGGCAGGTAGCAACCACACCGTGCCAATGAAAACAACTGCAATGAACACATGCGTACGTAAAGATCAAACTAAGAAATGTTTGTGTAATCCGATCCTCTGACGGGCCGGTGCAGGCATATGTCGCCATAGTTGCTGTTTTCATCAGTTACTTGGCGTACCTGCCATTTTGAGAGAGTGCTGGATGTCCGTGCCGCCCCATACATCAAATGAGCTGATTCTTGCGTTAGTTTATTGCATTTGCAAAGCTCTTTCCCATGACAAGTACTGAAGAAGGCTAGGCCCTCGGCCTAAATTTACTTTCATTGGCCTTGCCTACTCATGCTTCAGGGAAGATGACTTAAACAAAAACACTGCTGCTCGATTGGGGAGTTTGAAGAGTACAGGGGTCATCATGGTCATGGGGGTGTTGCTGGAGGACATGGGCCAACTGAAAATGAGGGGTCGCGCCCAGCGCTTTTTAAGATGTCAAAGAAAAAATGAAATGTTGCAAAATACAACCAACCTGGTCTATGAAAAACAAGTTGAGCTGTTATGTTGTCGAAGAGCTCCATTAATCGATGTTTTTCAAGATATTCTGTAGCTTCTTCTTGCCTTGGAACAGCCATTTCTGAGGCAACCATTTGCAAAAACCACACTTTCAGACTGGACATCAATAGAGGGAGAGCAACTTGGCAGTCGATCTAGGCTAGTTGTTGACACACGGGTGTTGCTATGTGCTGAAAATGACTATTCTGTGTGAATGGAAATGATCCGCATGCGACAAATAGCCCCCTCTCTTGGCCACATGAGATAAATTTGGTTAATGATGGCGTACGCGTAAACACAGGAAGTGTGATCGAAGGTCGGGTCATTGTGGTAGGCCGACAGTACATGTACTGTGCAGAAGAACCAAAGTTAAAACGAAACTTGAGGGTTAAATGTTGAACTTGTCGCAAGATAAATGATGGCCTATTCATATGGGGGTCTAATAAATCCAATGGAGCAGGTATCACTTAAGCGAGAAGTTCGGATTGTTGCTACAAAGTCCGTTGACAATTACACGGTAAGTGCTCACAGGGCCAATTACAATAGCCCGGGAGCCCAGCCCCCACTTTTGGGGCAAAGTTGAGGGTCAGACCTACAGGTAGCTAGAAAGTCTGCTAACTCGACTCGGGAAAGAGTCGGGATACAACAGATTTTTAGACAAGTCGTCCGTTGGCATAACTCGACTTCTGTTTGCTTCAAATCTGACATCTTCATCTTAATTGAAAAAAATGATAGATTGCAAGAAGAAGTGACCCCGATAAAAATGATGAACAAGGAGAAGGCCAGCAGGCCAGGGGAGGGCAAGACTCCAAGAGACCAAAATCAGTGGAATGCACTGATATCACTCATGTCACTGGGCATGGCAGCAAGCCTAATTGGCAGCAGGCCTTGAAACAGTCCTTAAGCACCCTGTGCACATGATAAAAAATACTGCAGAAACATGAAAGCTCTTCGGAAATGATAGCAGTCCAATCCTCAGTGTCATTTAAATGCACTATTTTTACACTCTATTCTGCTGGATTAACTTTTTTCTGACAAAGAAGTTACAAACTGAATTGCAGATATGTGCATTATTTGCCAAATCACCAGTTCTTGAAATTTAACAATAATGAAATGAACACTGGGAGCAAGATATCTTGGTCAGAGTGGATCTGGATCTGATGTGACATAGGCCTACCCCGGTACATACATGTACATGTATTTCATTCAGTATCATCTACTGTCAGACAGAAAAACAGTACATCTACCTCTACCCGTACTACAAATAGATGTACAATGAGCTAATTCAGTATTCTGTCAGCGCAGGTCCAAAATCAAGCATGTCCGAGTTCATTCAACGTGCGTGCGAGGTTTGCCCTATAACCGGGGCCCTATGTGGACTTTGCACATGCTTTGTTCCTGAATAACCTTGCTGTTTTGAAGTACTGAACCGGCTTATTGGTGTGTTCGAAGGTCATCGACCATTTTAATCATTTTGCCCAGATTTGCCGTTTTGGACAATCTAAGCCAACTCCAAGGATTGCAGGGTTCATAATTTTTATATTTATAATCATATACATGTATTCATGCAGCCTAAGTTGGTTGCATCTTGTGTTTCTTTGAGTCTTGCTGTGCAAGTTGACAACTACTGAAATCGGTGGGAATCTCAAACATTTCACTGGACAAGCTTAGCAGATGAAAGTTGGAGGCATGTACATGTACTACACCACATGATTTACACTGTAGAGAACCATCATTGATGTATGTGTAATTAGATTGCACATGTATTGTACATGTCCCTGTTTTGTATACAGTACAAAAGTGTGATGTCATTTTGAGCCCGGAAGTGTAGTGCAAACCCGTGGAGTACTCGCGCATGTTTTATCACGAGCTGGTTCTTGTGTGCTTGATAAACAATTTATTCACTTCTGTACTCTCTACATAAGTTGCCAGGGGATTGAAGACTTTGATGGATCAGTTTCATCATCCTCGATTAAAGTCAACCGAAATAAGGCATTAATTTGTACGAGTAAAACATACAAAAGCTGAACTCTATTTTTCTTTTGAATTACAAATGTGTCATTGAATAAATTTGTTTTAGAGATTGCTGTTACAGGCATTGTGTACCTGTATTTCTTTTTTAACACTAACTCCTGCAACACATTCCAGGAAACATGACGTCCCTTTGAACTATGCCTTGTGCCACAATATTTGTGTTGTGGCTGTGCAATGTACTTATGTTCTATTTCAGGAAAAGTGGCTAGATTGCGCAACATTTAAATTACATGTACATGAGAACCTCAATAGCTCAAGATGGCTGTTACTGGCAATGTTACAGCAGTCGATCATCACTGACAGTTGTTGAGTTACATCCTCCCTCCATGTTGAAAAAGTTTTTGTCATTTTTTCTTCGGAACTGGACAGAAAGTCTCAAAGTTTTCTCACAGAAAACAAAGTTGAATGCTTCTCATATAAGCCTTGCTAAGTTCAGCAGTAATGATTCTTAACTGAACACAAATGAATGAGTCAAAGCATATATTTGTGCATTGTTCGGTGAAATTAACGCCACCTAAAATGACCGCATTAAAGGTATGCCATAATTTGTTACGCGAGTCGTGGATATAAGCAGTGCGTAAGTTTTGTGAAACCACTCTTAATTTGTTGCACGATGTATGCAGTAAGATGGCAAAAGTGGCTTTATGCTATAGCATCAATTTTTTGTGAAATTGGCTGTTGAAATCGAGGGTTGTCACTATCCTGTCCACCTTGAGGTTTGGCAGATTTAAATTAATGAAGATTTAAGTAGGAAGGTTGTAAAATGTGTAGAGTGCTTAATGTATTACCTTGAATTATTTATACAGCAGGCTATTACATGTATTTTATACACCAGATGAAAGATTTTTTCATTCATTTTGCCCTATTAATACTTTTTATGTTTCGTAAAACAGCGTAAGTTTGTGTGCATTATGCTTACTTTCAAGGCCAAGAGCTCATTTTTATAAAAATCCAGATCTACACGGTACTTCCTTTAACCTCGATCAAACTTCAAGTGTCAGAGCATATTGATAATGGAAAAAAATTATCTTGTCCAGTATTGTTTGCTGGCCTAGCTGAACTTTGGTTCAGATTATATTAAGCATGTGGAAGGTCGGTCCTGCATCACATTGTAGTTGAGACTCATTTGGTCACTACCACACCTCGGTGGTTGTTGTCATGTCCTCAGTACAACAGGTAGGGTATAGTTGAGTTCCAGATAACTGATTGTGTTCCTGTTGAATCACGCTTCAGGCAGTAAACACCTGACACTGTATGATTGAGAATTTTTTTTAATCTACATTGACGAGGGCGTTGTGGTGAAGTCACTTCTATCTGTAGACATCTGTGTACTTTTAGTGGCTGAAGTTGGCGATCGTGAGCTGCACGGAACAGCAACATGTCTGCAAAAGTGAAGAATGTTGTCTTCAGTAACTCAGTAAATACACATGTATGTGTACGATGTGATCATGGCTTGTGTACTGTTTACCCCAGAGGACAGATAAACAGAGGGAACGTAGGGTTTTACTTGGCCTAGACTGGTGAACGCACATGTACAGTGTGTGTACATCGCACTGTAGGGAAATGCAACAGTTATTCATAGCAGTTAACTACACGTACATTATGTTGTCTGCGCATGTCACATGTTATCAGGGAGGCATGTATGTGTACATACATATATGTACATGGACAGGTATGTACTATGTAGGTGAACAGGTGCACACATCGTGTACATTTTTAAGATAGGATGTGAATCAAGGACTTCCCATTTTTTTCTTGTTTTTTCACATTTTTGTTTCAACAGCTTGGGTCATTAGTTTTGTGCAGGTTTTCTAGTCAAGGTCGTCCTTGATTCGATCCCTGTCCTCACTTTCAGAATAATGTTTCATGCACTGTGCCGGGTACTGTGTGTACATGTACACACATACCTCATATGTACATGTACACTGTATACGCACGCATGCACTGGTTTTATACCAGTAATTGTGGGGACCAAATTTTTGAAACAGAAATGTTGTGGAGACCAAAGCAATATGGAGAAAGTTTTTTGTCCCCACATCTCGGTCCGACTTCCCTAACTAAAGAAATTGTCCCCTCAGATTGGGGACCTTGCTGCCTGGCCTGGACACTCGTGATACACACACTCACTTGACGGATGCTGCAGGTGGCGGGGGCTTCATAAAGGCTGTCTATTCAAGCATCATTCATGGGCTTGAATGTCCCAATTCAAAAAGTATGGGGAATGTAGATTTGGTTTATTTTACAAGGCTCTGTCATGGTGGATCCAGGTTTCATGTCATGGTTGCTGCATATACTGTATGCAGAATGTCCAATGCACATGTAGTGGAATGGTTGTAAAACGTAATATGCATGTGTTTATTAACGTGCAGAATGGAAGTTATTTATCTTACACTCTGAAATTGAAAGAATAATTTCAATTCAATAAAACAGAAACTTCAGGCAGTCGTTTCTTGTGTCGGTTTCACTGTGTCAGAAAAACATACGAAAATGACTTCTTTGGGTGCATGTATATTAGGCAGATGTAATCTAGAAGTTTTGTATTACTGGTATATTAAGCCCATTTGAAGACACCGCTACAACAAATCCCACCTGAGAAGAGCATTCCCCCAAGGAAAGCTGTATTGCTATCTTGATTGTCATGTGAGTCATGACTGGCTGTTGTAAGCCCTTGAGATGAGGCTTTTTCAACTGCAGTGCGTTTCCTTTGCTCCAATAAAGTACATGTGGGGGAAGAGAAACGCCGAAGACACCCTTCAATCCATCTGTCCATCTGAGTTTAGGACTTCCCTTCTTACATGTCCCTTTAAAAGCACCTTGAAGGATAAGTGAGTGTTGTCTTGCCGTCAAGTCTTCAAAGTCGGACAAAGTTGTAAGAATATGAGCTTTTTGGTCCAAAATGTTTTGTAAATCGTATGTTACCGAAGTCCTTTTGGGACTTGGATACGGTAGTGGAGAAAAACCTTTTTTTTATTGAATCAATTTATGTTTGTTTCATGCAACCCTTCAGGCCTACGTCATTGAGCTCTCAGTGAGTGACTGCTCCTGGACCATACAGCGGCGCTACAGTGAGTTCCATGACCTGCACGAGAAGCTGGTGGCCCTCAAGAAGGTGGAGCGGGCCTTGCTACCCCCCAAGAAGCTCCTGTGGAACCAGTCTAAGAGCTTCGTGGAGAAGCGCCGACAGGACCTGGAGAGCTACCTGCAGAAGATGCTGGACCAGAGCTCCTACCTCCCCACGCCCCTGCTGCACTTCCTGGAGTTTGACATCTACGTAGGTGTTGAGTGCTGAGCAAATAAAGGGTAGCCTTTTTAACTGGACTGTGCCATCTGGGTCTTTGATGATGGTCGTGGCTGTAAATATTTGGACAGAGGGTGAATTTATATTTGGACATCTTGTGACTATTAACAGTTGTTTGTTTGAACAAGTCGATTGCAATATCATGTGAGAATCTCGCATCAATTCAGTCATCTCATAAAACTGACATCACTACTAATCCACTCTCTAGCCATATGTACATATATGTACATGTGCTACTGATTGATGACTTTTTTGTCTTTTTACTTTCTGTTTTCAGGACATCTATGGAGTCTCGCAGGCTCTTGCCACTGAGCTGTTTGAGAAAGCTGAAGCCATCCTTGCCTCATCAGACGTGTGTGAGATGACCCCCATGCAGCTGTACGCCATCACGGAGAGGTTGAAACTTGCCGTGCCAACCTGCTGTAAGTGTAGCCAGAACGAGTTCTGTGAAATGACCCAGAACAAATAAAGGGGAGTAGCCTTTGTAACTGGAAAATCACTGAAAAAAAAAAAAACCTGTGTCCCCAGTCGGGAAAACATATTCACAACTTTCAAACACATTCAGATGCACTTCAAATTGACGCTTGATTTGCTGTCTTTTTGACTGTTAATATTTTGGGATGCAGCTGCTTTTAAATGTAATTCTGATATGATCACCCCTAAAAGTATACAAAAAGTCCACCTCGTTTTGGAGGAATCATTTTTCCACTCCATTACAAACTAAATGTAGAGTGATTAATGCAAACTGCAGTCCTTTGTAATTTGTGTAACCTCGCAAATTATTGGCCCAAGAACTCTGAAAAGAAAAAGACTGACTGCATGTTAATCATTATTGGTTGCCACTGGCAATTTTTGGCATTAATCATTCATAAATACATGTACCTCAGACAGTTTCCCTATTCAGCAACACGCACCATGAATTTAACATTTGGTAATGCCTACTGAGAAGTGATAATGCCTGCTGCATAAAAAATGCTATAATATATATAATATAAACATTAGACACTGAAAATACCCGCGTCTGCAGCTCGGGCGTTATAGGTGTGTCCATTCTCCAAGCAAGTATTTAATCCCTTATTAATCAGCATTCATCTTATACGAGGCAAACAAAAAGCCAAGTATTAATGCCATATTAACATACTGCATCAAAACCAAACGTGTTATTTAAGCGAAACCAGCTGTGAACTGACTACAATTAGCAATTTTTCGAGCAGTATTTGTGGTATTGCCATTTGTGTTTGTTCCAAGTATATCTTTGTGTAATGAAGTTATATATGTACAGATTTTCTACGCTTATGTCTGTAAGTTTTATATTTCGAATTGCATGTTTGAAACTGTGGTCTACATTCTGCACTCTTTGCACAGCGGCCGATGATGCCCGCAGTGATATTGGACACATCATGGACTTCATCTCTAGACTGAAACTGATGCGGGTAAGCAGAAATTGAATCAAGTCAAGTAATGGCTCCCTGGCAGCAGTCATAGAGGGCACCATGGGGCCCACTGTCCATGGAGGCACTTGTCCAGTCTGGACTGTGCCTTTGTCTTTAACCTTACCTGTTGAAGTCCCTGTTCTTGAATACCCTGGCTCAGTACAAGTTAACATGATCTTGGCAAAGGAGCATCAGACTACACAATTTGAATTCATACATAGGGAGTCTTTAGGTGTGGTCTGAGCTTTAAAAGCGGACATGTTTCAAGTTAAGGGATGGAGGTCAATAATAGGGACAAAAGCAGAGCTGTGAGAAAGGACCATATTTTGTCATGGGGGCTCTTGAAGGAACGCTAATAGTTATAGGGCAAGTAGTCATAGTTCCCAAGGTCCAACAAACCCCACTAAACCTACATGTACACCAACAAGCTGTGGAACCATATCACTTTGTCTTAATTTATTATGGCTCTACCCAGTGGCATTTCACTACAATGACTTGATCATCCCAGCAGCAGGAGACACTGTTATAAAAAAGCACGAGGCAAACAAAATGCCAACTATCTGATTAATCCTCTTAGCACAACAGCTGAGCCCATTGCTTGAAACAGGTTACCTGATATTTTTGTAAAGTAGGTATTGAATTTGTCTTCGTTTTCTTTTGACTATCAATTACATGAAAAACCAAAAGTTGTAGCCTCTAGAAGCTAATGTTGTGACATGGCTTTCTTGTTGCATCCCTCTACAGATTGTTGGCTCGCGCCATCGGCTCGGGAGTAGCACCAGGGTTGTTGATAAATTGCCATTTGACCTTTCACCTTTCAGAGCCTTGGAGCACTTGCAGGTGAACCCCATAAAGGTTTTCTGTGGTCTGTGCTCAGGAAAGCTGTATTTCAGGGGGGAAAAAACCTGTCATTTGACTCGCATTTTAAATACTGACTTCCAGTGCAGTAATTCGTGAGAATGTGCAGTGGAATTGGCAGTGCTTCAGCACATAAGGTGCATGCTTTTCGAATGAGCGCCAAACATGCCATGCAGATTGGTTACGTAGAAGAATTTCTCTGTTCTGAAAGATTTAATATCTGCTGAGCTTAAAACTAAGTGTCCATTTACACTGAGCAATAAACGTTATTTCCTGCAATAAAAAAAATTGTGTGAACGCAAGGGTTTCCTATGGAACTGTTTTCCCTGAGAACAGACATACCATGTGAAGATGCCACGTGGCCAACCAGTTAGGTACGATGTTACTAATTGATTGGTCATTGGCTTCCTCATGTACCTTTGATTGTACTCGTGAAATGCTCTTGTTTGGGATGCTACATAGAGAGTCTGCAATTGCCATGCGGTACCCGTGTAGTTCAGCCTTGTGTATACATGTAAAACATCACACTACATGTATCACATTTTGTCTCTAGGCTCAGTTATTGCATGTCTGTGCAAATGCGCCCTCAGGCTGGCCTTCAACCAGAAGTATTGCACTCACATATTGGAAGTAGCCACTACTGCTAGACTTTGACTATCCATTGTTGCATGTTTTTTCAGCAGCCATAGCCAAACCTCTTGGACAAAGCCTCAATCAACGGTAGTTTTTTCCAGGGCATGGCAATAATCGGTTTTTAAAATTGACTTCTTCCTGATGCCAATTTCTCGCAGCAGTCATACAGTGTTTGATATTTTTGATAAAGTGAGATATTGTTTGTTTTAATTTCTATAGGTTGATGTGTGTGATATAAGCTTGATTGGAGGACTCATTGAGTTGAAGAGGACATTACATTATCTGGCTGTACATCACACTGTCAAGTCCCTGAAGGTAGGCATCCAAACTGGAATGAGGTATATGCAACATGTAAAAGTCTGTGAGTGTGCCCAACATGTAGATCATGGTGGTTTTTATGTTTGGTTGGGCTTTACCTCACAGGTAGATGAAATGATAAATTATCAATTTATATTTCTATGATAAATACGTTAGAAAAATTAATATACGAAAGGAGAAGATTGAGTAAGTAAACAAATCATGCAAGTCAATTTCATTATTAACCCTAACCCCCTAGGCCTTTTTACTAGGAACCATCCTGAATACTCTGAAATCTGCCGATTTTCAACATGAAACAATTCGGCCAAATCCTTCAAAATTTCTTGAAAATGTCACTTGGAGGTGTGCCTAACTGCCTGAATCCTTCAAAATCCTTCAGCAACTCTTGTCATTACATGCACGTTGAGGTAGTGTGAATGGTACTCTTGAGCTGTGCAGTTGATTCAAAAGAAATATCGGGCTGAATTTGTGCTTGACTTAGCACAAACAACATAATCCATGACCTTCACGTATGGCATCCTTCGAAATCAGCCATGCACTTTTGCCATACAACTTGAATCCTCCAAATTCCCCCACTTTGCTGAAAAGGATTTGGGAAGATTTGGGAGGGTTAGGGTTAAGCTGGAAAGTGCAAAGAACCCAAGCCATGAAAGTGATTTTGGATAGACCCACAAAAGAAGGCTTGATTTGCAACCCCATAAACTCAGTCTAGTGCTCCAGGTTGCCGTCAATATCTGCCTTTGAAAATAAGCTTTTAAAATATTCAACCCTATACTAGGCTACTGCAACCCCTCTAAAAGAAACAAGCCCAGAGCTGACTGTACCACTTTATTTTTTGTGTATTTCAGAAGCATTATTAAAGGTCTGTTGAAAATTGTGTACATGTATCAAATTTCGAATAACTTCTATTTTTTGTGTGGGCCAGGAAATTCTTTTACCAGAGGGAGAACACTGGATGAGTGCAGAGGCAGCAGCAACTGTAGCAGGTCCAAGCATTGGCCACCCAATGCATATTCCCACCTGGAAATGCATCAGCAGAGCTGACTTTAGATACAACAGTCTGAGTGACATAGATGACAGCATTGTAAGATCAATTTTGACTCAATTTTAAATGTTTGATTAATTCCTGTACTGAACTCTGGTAGTTGTGTTTTCCAATACAAATTTATTGGAATGTACATGCCTACTCACTAAAAATGTAAATTTTAAAGGGATTAATGAAACAAATACTTAATAAAGAAAAAGCAAGATAAGCATCCTTGTAACATCCTACAAATTCTGAAGTAGGAATATCAAATAAAGAATTTTACAATGTGTACGTGATTTCTAACAGTTTGTGGTAGGAACCTTTTTTTTAGTTACTCGTAATGAAAAAGAAATGCTTTATGAAGGAAAGGATTTGGCATGAAAGGATTCTTTATTATTTGTCTTTAACCCTACCTTTTTTGTTTTGTTTTAGTTCTGTTTTTTTTTTTTTTTTCAACTAGAAACTCTTGCCAAATCTGACCCGACTGGACCTGAGCCACAACAAGCTGACCGAGGTCAATAACCTGCAATACCTGTCAGAGATGACCCACCTAGACTTGTCCCACAACCACCTAATGTCCCTGGAGGGACTGCACGCCCGGCTGGGTAACGTCACCACCCTGGGGCTGGCCGCCAACAATCTCAGCAGCCTGAGGGGATTGGGGAAGCTCTACTCCCTGGTCCACTTGGACGTCAGCCAGAACTCCATTGAGCACGTAAGTCTGCACCCAGTATATGCACCTGTGGGCAATTAAGCACGCGCAGGCAAATATATTCCAGGGAAGTTGTTTCCATTGCGTCCTGTTCTCGTACAAAATAGGTAGAGTTTGTTGAGTATTCATCTCCCCTCGTAATGAAAGCACAGACCTGCTTAATTAATCCACCAATGTCTATCTAGAGTCTCATTTACATGTACAATTCTTGTGGCAACACGTTGCACGCTAAAGTCTCCGTTTACTCAGCACAGTGCTGTGAAGGTTTCTTACCGGCACATTTTGGAAGAAATTTTCCCTTTAGCTTGATCATCAACACGTTGCATGTTTGAGGCAGGAGGCCAAAGTTTGGTTTTTATTTTAAGTGTGGTTTACCCCCTCACAAGTTTCATAGCTCATTGTCTGTCTTACTCCACAACACAAGGTGGTTGAGGTGAACCACATCAGCAACCTGCCATGTATCGAGTCGCTGAATCTCAAGGACAATCCCATCACCAGCATCATGGACTATCGCACCAAGATCCTAAGCCTCTTTCAGGAGCAGTACACCGAGCTGACCCTGGACGGCCAGCGCACCAGCCAGAAGGAGATGGACAGAGTGGCCATCATGAAGGCCATCCAGAAGGCCAAAGAGAGTAAGGTCAAGAAGTTGACCCGGAAGAGCTCGCCTAGCCGCAAGGTAGGCAAGTGCCTTGAGGTGAAGTCATGAAACGTTTTCTCACCCTTGGAGCTCTGACTTTGGAAACAGGGTGCATTGTCAATGATCAGCGAGTCGGGTTGAGGCAGTGGTGTTTTATCACCTTCAGCCTCTGTGGCCCTGGGTTGGAATCCTGCCTAGATCAATATACGGAGTGGATTTTCAGCCCCCATGTAATTCCTTTGGTTTTTGCGGAATATTTATCTGTGTTTTCATTCATAGCTGATAATCAAATTATAATTTTATAATACAAATGCTATCAATAATTTTTTTCAGAGTCAATTAGAATAAGATAATGCAACTGTTTTGCTATAGTCAATATCATAATTGTAATGCCAATTTCGTATCATATTGCTGTATCGTGCATTATGGGTAAGCCTTACGCCAAGAATGGTCTGGTGTCTATGTACCACTCTCATCCACGACAAATAGTTTATCAGTGCTGGGTATGTCTCACATACCGGTAACTGTGCTGGATTTTGCCCTGAATTAAACTCCATGATACACGTGTAGCAGCAGTACTTTTAGCCTGGACGATTCAAAGTTGGAAATAATTCCTAGCCTTCAACCAGGCAGTGCTCAAGGCAGACAGGTAAATCCTGGCAGGGATGTTGATGAAATATATATGTACACGTATATCTCCTCCCCCCCCTTTTTATACTTTCCAATTTCCAAAATGTATTAAAAAAATGGAGATTAAATTTGGAACAAAGTATGTTTGACTAAGTTTCATGGGAATGTGCAAAAGCATCTTAACTTCTTTGCTGGGATGCTAGGTTAACAGGAGCAATGCAATTCAAGTGCCATACCAAATGTGTAGTGTACTTCAGTGTTAAGTTTCCGACTACAGATAGATCAGATGCTGGTCACCTTGGTTGACATGGGGACTAATTTCAAAGACCTTCTAAGGAAATATTTGAACCTAACTCAGCAACTTCATACAAAGCTGGCTGGTCCCCTTTTTTTAATTTCCAGAAGCACGCTGCCCCTGTGAAGCAAGCGGAGATAGCCGACCCAGACGTCAAGAAACCCTCCCTGCTTTCTCTGGCCACTGGGTCTGCATCTTCATCGCTAGCAAACAGTCAGCAGAGCCTCACACAACCTGACATTATAGCCGGTAAGTTAATCTCCGGAAATGATGTCATTTTCTTGGTATGGTTTGGCACTTCATTGCTCTAGGATTTCAAGTTCACATGAGATTTAGAAACACGAATATTTACCGTACTTGCATATGCAGAATTATGCTGTTAAGGTGTCCCTTTAACCACTTT